TGGGTTTCTTGAATTTTGGGAACAGGAATTATTTCCGGTGAATATGATTGTGGTTTGGTTTTTGGCCAGAAAGTTAGATACAAGCAATGTGTGAGCAGGTGCATTATCGTGGTGCAAAATCCATGAATTGTCTTCCCACAATTCCGGATGTTTTATACGTATTGCTTCTCGCAAACGGCTCATAACTTCAACTTCATTGACCGTTCGACCTTGCGGTAAGAACTCTTGATGTACTACGTCATGATAATCAAAGAAAACAGTAAGTAAAACCTTAAGATTTGATCGAACTTGACGTGCTTTTTTCGGTCTTGACGATTCTGGGTTCTTCCATTGGGACGACTGGACTTTGGTTTCGACGTCATAACTATATACTCACGATTCATTACCAGTTGTGACCTTTTTGAGCATATCAGGATCCTCATTGACGTCGTTTCACAGCTCTTGAGCGATGCTCCTTTGACGGTCATTTTGTCCAAAATTAAGCAGTTTCGGAAAAAAAATTCCTGATATACGTTTCATACCCAAAACTTCGGAAAAAATCCATGGCACGATCCAGTAGAGATGCCGACGTCTTCAGTCACTTCTCTAATAGTGATTCGACGATTTTTCAAGACCATTTGTTTCACTTCATCAACGCTTTCATCAGTTATTGAAGTGCTGGGGCGTCCAGAGCGAGGTTCGTCATCGGCATCTTCTCGGCCATCTTGTAATAGCTTGTACCACTTATAAACATTTTTTTTGCTCAAACCATATTGCGTTGTCAACATGTCGAGTGTTTTGCAGCACTGTATTCTATTTTTTACACAAAATTTTATGCAAATTCTTTGTTCTATTTTTTGGACAGCAGAAAATCGCCGAGCAAACAAAACACTTCTAGCGTCTGTCTCACAAAAAAGTAAAAGTTCAAACTGGCTGAAACTGTGAACATATGTTAGGGAAGAGTATAACAACATAACAAAAAAAATCTAAGATCGAATATACTTAGCTCGCCCAATTACAAAAGTCACCTTACTTTCTGATCACACCTCGTGTATCTGGATTTTTTAAAAACTTTCCCCCAATGCTAACAGATGATTCGACGCTATTAAATAAATTCACAGATTTTACTAAGAACCACTTATTTGTCTTTATAGTTTAACATAACTTTTAAACCATGGAACAATGAGTGTGTTAAATTGTTAAAGTAGTAGTTTAAATTTAATTTCGGGAAAAGTGTTGGGTAAAATATATTAAAATAATGTAAATTTAATTTTGGAGGAATGATTTTCTGATGGTCCAGTACAGAGTTCAGTGCCTTAGTTTAACTCTTCTGTCCCAGATTGCTCTCTCTCTCTGTCTCAATCGTCTTGATATTGCACTCTGTCATAGGAACATAAATTGCAATTATCTAAAACACCCATTACCAAGTTTTAACCCATTTTGTCCCAGTGGTGCGCTAATGCACCACTGGGATGCATTTTTTTTGTCACATCCAGGAAGAATTTTTGCACATCCATTTATAGATTTTATTATTATCACTACTAAAGGACATAAAACCGTAGATATCGCTAATTGATGTGTAAAAGAAAGATCTTATATATGACTCCAAAAGTTAACAAAAGCGGTACATAAATTTGTACCACATTTTCAAGTAAATCCAAAATAGTAAAAAAAAAATATTTTGGATTTGTATTGCCATTTTTGTTAAGTGTATAGCATGTCGATTATGCTTTATTTTTTGAAATTATTTACTGGTGCATGAATACATTACTGGTTTTATCTGTGAAACAAAACTTTGTTATTGCAAGTCCAACCATTAACGTGTTCTTTAGTAATAGTTTGTGCCTTGTGCAGTGAACGTTACAGTTCTTAAAACATTGCATTTCCGAGGTATTTGACTCAAAAGGAATTAGAGGCGGCTATGGAGGAGATCGTGATGGATGAGGGCAATAACAATAAAAGTCATAAGTATTATTTGGATTTACGTATTCTTATGTATTGTAGCATTCCTTTCCTCGTAAATTTATGCTAAAATTAGCGTGAAAAAATATTAAAGTATATTTGTTCAGGAATTATACATATAAGATATATTAGTAGGATAATTTAAAAATAACAAAAATTGAGCTTTAAGCCAGCTAGTTATCTAGATAGTTATCGATTTTGAATTATTATAATAGTGCGTAATGGGGTGAATAATAATGTATTGGTATAAATTTTAAGCAAAAGTAATCCTGACTCTTGTCCCGAATTCTCGCGAATTGCTAAAGGTTCTCAAATTGGAATTGGAAAAAAAAAGTGTTTTATTTTAATAAAACGGGCATAACAATCAAACTATAACATTAAAGCTACGTAGGCGATGTAGAATGCAGATTCCACCTGAGCTCTCGTTCAAAAGTTTAGTCTTCTACTATTTCGTTTCTCATTGACTAGGTAAGTAATTTTCTTGACATGTCTCCTGATGAAAAAGTATAATGGTTTGAAAGGCTAAACTGACCAAAACAACCGTAATCCCATCCCAGGCTTCGATAAGTAAAATCCGTATTGATGGTGCACAATTTGCATTTCTTCAACAATGCTAAATCTTAAAATTTCGCGAAATTGGCAAAAACGAAGCACCGGGAAATAAGGACAAATTTATTAACAAAAAAAGAGAACTTTCATGGAATCACAAATAACATCAGTCAACCAATTATGTATCGGTGACTTTTAATTGGAAAATGGGATATACCTTTAGGAATATTCTGAGGTAAACTATGGGGGGTGATTTTTTGTTTAAAATAAAGGGTTGCCTATTGTGCCCACATTTATATAAGAAAAATTAGGGAGATATGGCGCTAGAAATATGGCGGGTCAATAAGGTTCTCATTTTTTATATTTCTGTATATTCTTTTATTTTTAAAAACTGCATAGAGAGGATTGATTTAGACTCCACCTCTCTCATTTATTCTTCTTCTCAAATAAACTTAAAGAAACATTTACGCAATGACATGGAAAAAAATAAATTTCGATGGACGGGTTTATAAGAAACTTTTTTCCCATACAATTTTTTCATAAAACTGTAGTTTACAAATAAAAAAATAAAACGTAAAACATGGTCATGCCAAAAAAATATATTCATTCATTCATTTCTGCGTTAGTGTAGTCAACATTAGTGAATTAACAATTTATTGAATAATTAAATGATTCGATAATAACTTTTAAATTAATGGTATTTTCTTTTCAAACAAACTGATAAATAATAAAAAAACGGCTTAAGAAGTCTGCTGTCAGTATTTTTTTTATCTCGTTATAAATTAATTTAAATGTTTGTAAATTGCAAATATTATGAAAATATTTCAAAACAGAAAATGAAAAAAATAGTTAAGAAGAATGATAGGAGTAGTCTAATTCGCTCATTTTAAAAAATATATAAAAATAATTTTTCCGCCATAAAAAACTACAAAAAAAAATTTGTTTTTGTTTTGAAACACAAGGTTAATCATTTTTATTTATTTATTTAGGAGGTAGTTTGTTATAAATATTTTCAACTTTTTTATTTTACAAGACTGCGAAGACTTGTACATCACTCACCCTAATATCCTCGCTGAACGTGACAAAGTTAGAAATAAAGTTTTAACACAATTTTCATCCGTTCTAAGAACTTGCTGTAGTTATCGAAAAAATAAATCGTGGAAGAATATAATTTCCACAATGGCCATATGTCACTATTTTTTAAGTGAATATTGAGCTAAATTTTGTTTTTTCATTCCGATAAAAATATTTTCACGGATTAAGCGTCAGCTTCGTTATACACGACTGCTTATTTTAGTCACGGATTTGGAAGCGATCGGAAGTTTTCGGTAGATTTAAGCTATGTTATTTTGACATTTGTCTGTCCTCACGGTTATGTCACGGATCACTCAGTAAACATGTTCGTACTAAAATAACGTTTAGCAAACTTGACTAAACAATTGACCAAAAGTTTTTTTTTGTCCTCCAAAACTTTTACTAACTCTCGAGCAAGCTTTCTCCCTATATAATTATTATTATTCGGAGAAATACCATATCACAACCGCAAAAATTCCACTTTTAACAAGGTATATCTAACTCTCGCCATAAATCACCCTATACAATGATTATTGGGGGAAATACTATATCACAACCGCAAACATTTCACTTTTAACAAGGTATACGTATTATTATTTCCCTTTTGTCTATCTCGGATTAATCGTTAATTAATTTAAATTACTAAACTAACGAAAATTTGATAGAACACTGCCGCATACGAAAAAGGGCTAGACAATTTACAATGAACATGAGCGAAATACAGCAAACAATTTTGAAATAACAATTTTACACTTACATATTCTAGAAATTATCACCTTTGGAAATTTCAAAACCAACCAACTAAATACCGATATGGATATTGGTTTCGTTTACAATTTCAATGTTATAAATATTAAATTGGGTTAAAAAGTCAACGTATTCTACAAATTTGTATTTTTAAAATAGTTGGTGCTGTGCTAAAAAGATCATTTACAAATTAAAAACTTTTCTGCGCAGGTGTCAAATCCACAAATGGACATCATAACTTTTAGTTCCATTGATTGAATAGAATTGAATTTGCAAGTATAGTACAGCAAAAGACCACTGCATTTACGTCGAATTGTAAATCCGTGCGCATGTCTAATTCTCAAAATCTCTGTAAAACCCCGCGCTTTCCGAGCACACTTTCAATATTAACCACCCCTGCTTTGGCCGTTGTAAGAAAGAGATTTACACCCAAAACATCAACTGTGCCGTTTTTACCACATTGGAACATATGTTTTGGTTTCCTGACACCATCAGCCTAGATCCAAGAGGTAACCCTATGTGTAACTGAAAATTTAAACGGAAGATGGCGCAAAGTGGCTTTGTTGTTGGAATCCGGCATCATTTAGCTTAAAGATGGTTTGTTTTCTACGAAAACCCAATCTCCGTTGTTACAAATGAGCGACTCAAATTGCAATAAAATTGGTCAAGAAAAAAATGTCATCGCTCACCTAACTTCAACTTCTTCTGGTTCGAAAACATGACCGTTGTCTTCTTCGCGTTGTTCGGGAAATTTTTCCATGTTTGATGTTTATCCAAGTGCAGTGATAGGTTTGGATATCAATTATCACTAAAGACCACCCACACACTTAAATCTATGATGACTTAATATTAATCAGTCTTGGTGGAAACTGAATTTTTGTTTGTGTCTATTACGATAGATTTAAATAAATAAAAAACGGATAGGAGTGGTAGTCTTGAGTAGCCGCGGAATCTATATAAACAAGAAGAAAGACGGAAACCAGAACTGTCACAACATAATATATATATATATATATATATATATCACAAAAACAAGCGTGCGTAAGAATAGAACCGTCCAATGGGCCGAAACACCGGTTAGGGGGGACCAAAAATTGCCAAAACAGTCACTTTTAAAAGCGAAATCAAAAAATCTTTTTTATAAAAATGATGTAACACAACATATCACTCTAAACGCGAGTTAATTCTTACTGCTAACTTATGCCCGAGTGCCAACGATTGTGGCAATTTCGTCGAACGCGCATTGACACGCCTACTCCCCTCCGCTATTCCCATTCATCCCTACGGAACCCCCACCTATGGATTACATAACTAGTAATAAGACTTCCTCGGGTCCAAACTCAAAAGCATCACTGCCGATTCTTTTTTAGGCTTTAGTTAAGAACAGAGGTAATCTTTTTAAGTTTTTTTTTTGCAGAAAAGTCGATTTCATTGTGCTAATGGGTGCTTCGTCTTATTTGATTTATTTATATTTAATTATTATCATTTTGCGTAGCTTACATCTATCGATGATTTGTGCTTTTAGTTTATTGGTGCTGAAGTTATAAATCCGCTCAGATATGGGTTGGGAATATGTGTCTCAGAAGTTTCAGGCAAGAACCACTTTGATTTAAATGGTTTACTAGTGGTTTTGTGTAGACGGCCAAATTTGCCACGGCACATGTGACGGAAACATTCTTAATAATTGGGAAAACTTTAATATGTATTGTAATTTCACAATTGCACAGCATAAGATACAATTCCATTGATTACATGTATTTGTTGTGTTGCGTGTTATTGAACTATACGCATACATGCATTTGCTTTATTTAATAACGATTTATTTTATTTTAAAATCGAAATCAACTAAGTTCTTCTCTTTCTAAATCGTTGAGCATGGGTATGGACGCATGTTTAAGAATCCTCTGATTTTCAGAAAGTCCGAACATTTGGTCACTAAATTTGTTTCATACGTGCGTATGTTCAATTGAAAAGTTTATTTTTTTACTAAATTAAAAGAAATGGTACCAACATAAAACTAATCGGAACTAGATATAGGTAGATATTTTTTATTTTAATTAGCTAAAAGAATTGTTGATAGACTGCATCTTACCTAATACCTCTTAATATTTTTTAAATGATTTGAATTATTTCCCCCCTTTAAGTTTGGGTTTTTATTCTTTATTTTATTATTTATTATCTCAACAATTTGGTTTTTAGGTTTGCTCTCAATTTAAAAAACCTTAGTCAATCTATTCATATAAGTAAATTAGACTGGGCGAAATAAAATCGGAAGCAGTAGATATAAATTTTAATTTTTGAAAATCTGAATAGTGTTAGAGTCAATTACAAAAGTCAGTTTCTTTGATTTACCATGTATTAATATCTATATTAATTTTTATTTTGAATAGCAAAACTGTCGGCTAGAACATACTAATCAATCATCAATGAACGGATAATCAATCTCAAAAACTTGATTCGATTTTCAATAATTTACATTAAGTAGTAGCACAGGATAATTTTAGTATTCTATGGTAGTAAGCTATGACTAATCTAATAAAAACAGTAAAGCAAATGCCAAAAGATTTGGAGACTTTTTGAGAGTTTTTGATTAATGAAAATTAAGATTTATCAAATAAAAAGTTGTCTCAATTCTTGTAATTTATTCGATATTTTTCTGTTAATGTAAATATACTCGTTTATATAGACATTGCTATACTTTTTGGGAGTCATATTTAACAATTTGTACATTTTAAAATAAAATTTTAATGTTCGAATAAACTTGGTAGCAAAACTAATTAATAATCCAACCTTTGCCAAAAAAGGTAGGATTGTCTTAGGATAGGATTAGTGTTGCAACAAAAAGATTCAAACTGAAACCGACCAGCTCGTATAACTTTTCTGATAATTCAAAAATGCAAAATTATGAATATTTATTCCCCCAGTTCTCTTATAATAAGTTCTTAAAATAATACATGTTTGGCTATATATTTCACTATTTTTTTTAGAAAAAAAAATGCCAAACGTCAAACAGTGATAATTTAAAAACGGTAAGGACTAAAATTAACCTCCGCCTTAAACCTTGTTAAATTTTTTACAAAAAAAACGTTTGGCACATGCTCTCTAAGCATTAACATTTATCTTTTGATTGAGCCAACGATTTACGATTATATTGGCAAAATTTCTATTGTTTATAATAATTATTATTTGTTATTAGTTACACCTACGTTTCTGGAGGACCCATAGATTGATCGTTATTCGCGTGTCACTTTATTAACACACAGTAAGTTTTATACGACCTACCCAAAGCCAACAATTAATTAATATGCACGAATTTTATTACATAGTTCTTCGGTTTGAGAAAAAAATTAGATATAAATGTTTTTACATATAATTTTTTTACAAATTGAATCAATACAAAGTGGCTCTTCCAAGTGTTCGTGCCGCTCTAAAGGAATGCGGCTCAGGAATGTGATAACAGGCTTTTCAAAGACGTGGCAGCGGGCTTATAGTATTTGTTTTAAAAGGACGGGGCCGAATCTTGCAATACAGACCATAGTGTATAGTTTACTTTAAAAATGCTGTTATAACATGTTTTTAGAAAATCTAGGTACTAGTCGGCTAAAAGAATTACACAATTTTTTTCAAATGTGACCAAAAGTCCATTGAAACATGTGTCGTTTTTTACCTCCTTACTTTAGTCACGATTTGGGAGCGATCGGCCTTTTTTGGTAGATTTAAATCAGTGATATTTTGACTTTTGTCAACTCATATCATACGTACTCACACATCGTGCAATTTTGCAAGAATGTACCCAAAACTAATGTTCGTAAAAAAAGTATAGTATGCAACACTATTATATACTCCTTCACATACTGCTGATAATACAGGAACTTATGAAGCAAATATATAAAAAGCATTTTTAAGAAGATCCATTCCACATGTGACCTTGCGGCAATCAATAACCAACATGGCCGCTGACAGTAAGTTTGGATGCGGCATTTTTACGGCAGTATTTTCTTAAAATATATCTAGATCTCGTTAGATGTTCTGGGAAAACCAGTTAACCGTGTGGAAATCGCTGTTTAGAGAGAAAATGGCGCAAAATGCAGGTCCGTTGGTGAAATTTAGAAGTATGCTAGAAAATATCAATTTTCACTGTATTATCTAATACCTATACGCCTCAAGCATATCACTTTTCTGAGTTGGTAAATGTGTATGTTATAAGAAAAGCTAATTCACATTGAAATATAAATCCTACCCATATAACTCAACCTAAAAATCAAATTCATGAAAATTGAAAAATTAAAACTTAAGCATTAATTCTAATTAATTTAATTTTAATTTGGTACCTTTTAAATGTGGAATGAATTGCTAAAACTTTAATACAAAAGAGAAAGAAAAGAGAACGGAAAATTGATTATTAGATGGTAGATATAAATTTTTTACTCAATGACGCTTAGTTAGTTAGAAAATAAGCACATTGGCTTATAAATAAAATCTTTAAAAAAGCACACTAATTTGTCAACTGCGATAAAATGCGGCGAATGTTGCTGAAACACTGAATAGTTCATTCGGAGCTAAGTACAATGACCTGGAGTGAAGTGCTTCAGGAAATAACTATCAATGACGTTGTATCTTTGGCTTTGGCTAAATTGTAAATAATGTATAGCAAGATAAACGTATAATTACAGTGAATAGAAAGAAAATAAAGTCTTTATTTAAGTCTTGAAAATTTGTAAAAAAAAACGTGACATTGCCTAAGTGTGGTTATAGAAAATGTTTATCCCCAATCATTTTTTTTTTTACTGTTTTAAATACCAAATCATTAATATCTTAATCCGACTGCGTTTTTTTAACATGAATCGTAATGTTTAAAAGCGCATTTACTATTTTTGAAAACTTATTTTCAGAAAACGAGAAATTTTGAATGATCAAGGAATATGCATGCTATGTTATATTTACGTTTAATTGTGGTACTGAAATTAGTATAAAAAGGTATATTAAGTGCATCGAAGTACCAGGGTGGCAGAGAATTTTGCAACGGAAGCAAACTTGCACAGATAAAAATTCAAACCAATTTAACATATTGTGAATTGAATTTTACTTCTACCATATCTTTCCATCTCTAATTGGGAATTAAAAAAAATGAAGTTAAAAATAAGAGGCAGCAAGTTTAAGAAAACTGGACTCAATTTATTTTAATGGCTACAAACATGCCTTATGTAATTTCGTAGTACGGAATGAGCACGTTTAATTTGCGCCTTTAATAACATTATGTCCACTATAGTTACAATACAATAAAATACAGTTAAAATTGTAAAATTGTTTGAATTTCGATTATGATTTTAAGTATTTGAACTTTAAAATTGGGATTATTGTTATCAAGTTCAAGCCCTTTCTTTTAAATACAGGGTTATTCAAAAAGAAAGAGCAGATTTCAAAAATTTACTTCTTTCAAACTACAAAAGGTAGAAACATGATTCTAGCCTTAAAGAGAAGTGTAAAATTTATTACTACTATTGTAAAAGTTCCAATGAAGGCCGCATTGGCGCTGATATTTGTTGTTTTTTTTAAATGGCGACACCACACGAGGAGTCTTTTTGCGTTCTACAATTAGCAAAACTAGAGTCCATTGTTGCAGTTCAGCGAGCATTTAGCCAGCATTTTAATAAACAACCACCGCGTCATAAGTAAATTTACTAGTGGCATCGAAAATTCGTAGAAGATGGTTGCATCTGCAAAAGAAAAAGCACGGGACATCCTCGCACACAGAATAAGAATGTCGAGCGTATTCGTACAGTGCTCATATTGAATGCATACACTTTTTTCTATCTATTAATGTTAGAATCATGTTTCTATCTTTTGTAGTTTGGAAGAAATGCATGTTTGCAATGTGCCTTCTTTTTGAATAACCCTGCAGTTCTACCTTCAATTACATCCTTTTTGAAATTAGCTTTCC